ATGGAATTACGAACTAGAGAACAGCTTTCGAAAGCTAAAGCTCGCCCTTTAGACTAACTTCCTGTGAACGCTGACTCCAGATCGAGATAATAACTACTCTGGCTTTGGAAGCATAGGCACTGTTCTAAGTGCTTTACACATAATAACTCATGTTTTTAAAATATTAATAACCTCAAAGGGGGTTGTACTGTGCTATTTTATAGATGATGAGACAGGCCAGAGAGGTGCAGTCACCTGCAGAGGCCACGGGCCAGTGGGGGTGGAGGTGGGATTTGAGCGGAGGCATTGAGTTGATAGTCTGCACCATCGACTGCGATGCGCTGCACCGCCCTTTGTCCTAAAAATAAGACAGTAAGACACTTGGTATTAATTGAGTTGTTCTGTACTGATTTTCAAGTGCTTAAAGAAACATTGGGATGAGTCTGACTCTGTAATGGGATGTTACTGAGATGTTTGGCTTAGCGTTAAGGAGGAATAGGGTTGACTTCATGGGCACGTGCCCTGAATGTATTCACACAGGATTTGTTTTAATGCTGTGTTGTCACCATCTTGATGTTTTTAATTTTGAACAAGGCGTCCTGCATTTTTGTTTTGTAATGGGCCCCACAAATTCCATGGGGTTCTAAGAAGGGGTGACTTCTTCATGCCATCACACAGAGCCACTTCTTCCTCACACTGTACCTACTGGATTAGGTTTCAGCTGACTGTCTGATCCATGTGGTATTTTTTATGTGCTTATTTGTCCAAAGTTCTTTTAATAGTCTCTGGAGAATTATACAACAGAAGTGTGCTAGTGATGTATAGGGTACGTAGCTATACATTTAGCATATGTGAAGATGTGTTCCTTTTACTTTTTAAAAGCGGAATCACATGCATTACAGAACATAGCTTGACATTAAAATTGAACATTTTCTTGCAAGACAGGCTCTTAATAAGAGATTGAAGGGTTGTGAAAAGGCCTCTAGAGTGAGTGAGAAGTGTGTTATGCTCTTGATTATTGGGGTTTTGTTTGTTTGGTTGGCTGGTTTTGGTGCTGACATCTTTACATATTATGATGGAAATGCTATGTACAAGACAGATTAAAAAAAAACGAAGAATTAGGGATCAGGAAACTCCAGTTCTCTCCGTGTCACCAGGCCTGTACTGGCCATTAGGAAAATGAGTTCTGAATTAAATGCTCTTAAGTCTTTCCAGGTCTAAATTTCTGATTCTCATTTTAAAACTGTTTTGAATGGAGCCTTCTGGAATCTTAGGAGACACAGTAATCTAGATGCTTCCATGTGCTTTGAGTTTCAGAAACCCCAATAATCAAGAGCTCAGGAATCTTAGAATCTTTTGTGGTTTGCACTGCAGCTTTGGATTTTTATGGGTTCTGTTTCCTTAACAAGATCAAAATCATTAAAAAAAAATTTTTTTTTTTGGTCTGCTGCATACCTAAGCACTGGGCTTGGCGTAAATGATATTAATCAGTGCTTGTTGAGTGACTTGAGTAATTAGGGAACTACAAGGGACAAGGCTGTGCAGTGTCGGAAGCATGAAACCTCATTCTTATAGTCCAGGAAACACCCAGACCATGCTTATTTAAGATGCATAGTCTTAGGGGCACCTGTTGTGATGTAGGGGTCCCGTCTAGGCTAAAATCCCCAGTTCCTTTGTGGCCCATTGTACTGGTAATCTCAGGAGGTCTGTTGTTGGAAGGACCCAGCCTGTGCCTACATGGTTTGCTCAGCCTCTGCCATAAACACTTCTTATTTTTGTATTATACCTCTGAGTGCTTTCAGTAGGGTTTTGTTTGCTTCACTTTGGCAAATGGCAGCCTTTTGTCTTTGTCTCTGTTGGGAGCATAGAAACTCTTGAAACTTACTTGAAGATTTATAAAGGGAATAAGCAGTTTACTACCAGTGAATCTGTGAGTGCTCTAATATAGATTGAGTTTTTAGGAATGCCATAATTTGTTGTCCTATTTTCAGCTGTATTCAATGATAGACTAAAAGTTTATTTAAGTACAAAGTTACTTTGAGAGAGAGCAGTTATCTCAAGAGACTGTTCAAAAATACACTTCTAATTTACTTGTGTTGGGATTCTGCCGTGTGTTTTAATCAATACTTAGAAGCCTTTGAAATTATGATTTCTGAAGCATTGATTTGAAGTACACATATTTCTTCCCTTCCCATGGAACTGGCAGCTGGCATTTGTGAGCCTGTTCTGAGTCTTTGCCTATCTGTGTCAGTTCTGGTTTCTTGACGCGGGTCTCCACAGGTGCCTCCTGAAGTGCTCCTCCTGAAAAGACGATCCAGGCCTCTGTCCAGGAGGAAGACTTTGGTGTCCCCTTCTCCTGACACAGAGTTGTCAAGTGAGCAGGGCCCAGCCTCGGTGACTGCTTGAGAATAAAGATCATGGCTTTTGAGATGAGAGCACAAGTAGCTTCTTAGGAAGGGTTTCTCCTTTGGGACAGATTAAAGGCTCAAGTGGAAAAGTTGCTCAGTGTCCAGTACTGTCTTGAGTGGCTTTGTGTAACTGCACTTCTCCCGTATCTCCTTGATTTAGTGTTTGCTCTTTCTTGAATGAAGCTGACTAAAGAGATTAGCAAAAAGTACAGTCCTAAACGTGTAAACTTGTTGCTGATTAGTTGTATATATGGCCTTGGACAAATGATTTAACATCTCGATTCTTTGGTTTTATTTTTGTTTTTAGTCTGCAAACTAGGGGGGAGATGATAGGATCTATTTTATAGAGTTTTGAGAGGATTAAACGTTCACGTAAAAGACTTTAGGACTATGCCTCGCTCATAGTATGTGCTTAAGTTTGGCTAATGACGTGATCATTATGGAGGATGGTGAGATCATGTCACGTTAGGGTTTGATCAGTTAAGACTTTGCCTGAAGAATCGAGCAGTTCTGAAGGATTCGTAGAACTTGGCTAAGCGGAGAGCAGGAGGGTATTCTAAATTTGGGGACCAACAAGGGAACAAGGTGGAGCAGAAGAGACAGTGTCATAAACCACTTGACCAGTGTGCACAATGCAGGAGGAGAGTGTAACAGTCTTGAGGGCCGAGGATGAAGAGGGGTGGAACTCCGGTGGCTGGAATTGGCCTCTTCTGTTTGGCCACTTCCCAGGGAGACCTTGGTGGGAGGAATCATGGCCACGTTTGGGGATCCCCTGATTCGCTGCTTTGCCCCCAGGACTCCACCCCCTTCTTCTGGCCCTGGCACTCTTCCCAGAGCCTGGAGAGCTCAAGGACTTTGTTACAGTTTTAGGGAAAAGAAAAGTTTTTTTCTCCTCGAGAAGTCATGTGAAGTCTTGCTTGTGACTAGCCTGGGCAACATAATTTTTGTCTCTACAAAAATTAGCAGGGCATGGTGGCGCACACCTGTGCTCCCAGCTACTCAGGAGGCTGGGAGGGGGAAGATCGCCTGAGCTCAGGAGGTCAAGGCTGCGGTGAGCCGTGATGGTGCCACTGTACCCCAGCCTGAGTGATAGTGTGAGACCCCGACTCAAAAAAAAAGTGTGAAGTCTTCCTTTTGGTATTTTCTAATTTCAAGATATTTAAACAACACACATTTTCTCTCCTGAGAAATAATTCTTGTCTTTGTCTTGGGAGCCTGTACTCGGGACATTCAAGGACTGCAATGAAAAGGAAACAGTTTAAGTTTAAAAGCATTATTTTTGCCTTAATATTCACCCCAGGTTCTCTGTGTGTGTGTTTCTAGCAGTTATCTTAGACTTCTTCCCAGAAAACCTCTTAGATCACAAAATGGTGTAAGTTTTGTTGTAGTGCTTGCAGCACATCATCACAGCTCTGCCACCCTGTTAAGGTTTCATGAATGTTTAAAATGAGTAACTTCAGAATGTCTGGTTTAACATGTGCTGTGACCCTTAAATTGTTTCAGTTCTTATGTTTCAGCTTGTATAAAGTAAATAGATGCCCTGTTTTCAAGAGTAGTTATGTTTGGATTTTGCCTCTTTTTTTTATGAGTTGGAGTCTCACTCTGTCACCCAGACTGGAGTGCAGTGGCTGCTCCTGCCCACCGCAGCCTCAACCTGCTGGGCTCCGGTGATCCTTCCGTCTCAGCCTTCCGAGTAGCCGGAATTACAGGCATGCGCTACCACGCCTGGCTGATTTTTTGATTTATTGTAGAGATGAGGTCTCGCTGCCCAGGCGGGTCTCGAACCCGCGGGCTCAGGCAATCCACTCACCTCAGCCTCCCAAAGGCGCGGGATGACAGGCTGAGCCACCGAGCCTGGCGCAACATTCTAATCTTAAAGGGAAGTGCTCTGTTCCCTCCCCTTTCTTATTTCTCTGAAAAGATTCTGTTCCACTCAGTGTAGATGTTAGTCATTGCACGTACTTCAAACTTCTTTTACGAAGTTGCTTGTGAACTTTGTATTTCAGCATTTCTTCAGTCGTTTCCCGTCATACTTATTTTAACACCCATTGTGCACATCCGTGCTATGCACGGTGTTTTGCCTAGGTAAACTGGCTGTAAATTCTGGTACCAGCTCTGGTGTGTTGGTAGTGGCTGCCTTAGAGCATCGTTTGAGAAGAATCGGAGGCAGTGTCTGTGTTTAGCAGAAAGGAGTGCCTTGCTTGCAGTGCTCTGTGGCCATGAGCTTTGGAGGGAAGTGTGGTGGCATCCATATATTTGGCAACCCCCCCAAGATAGAAAGAGTAATGAATGGGGATTATGGATGCATTAACAGGTAGACCTTTGGTTCATTACTTCTTAATGAAGCTTCTCTACAGTTGTTTTTCTGAACTCCCCTGAAGCAGCTTTTGAGTGTGCATGTTGTTATCCATCCTGACCCTTCTCTGCCAGGGTGGATTTAGTCATTCCTTTATTGTTGCTTCAGTAGCCCTTTATCACCTTGACCATAGCACTTCTCCTTTGTTAACCATTTATTCGCTTGTCTGGTTCCACTGTGGATTGTGAACTTCTTGAAGAAAAGGACGGTGTTTTCCTTGTCTTTATATTGTTAATACCTGGCACTGTGCTTGGCAGATGTCTTACACGTATTCAGAAAGTGAAAGCGTTTATTTCCTCCATGACCTGGAGATGAGTGGCGAGACACTGATGACTGAAGGTGAGGTGGCTGGGTCCCAGCTGGGGGTGGTGCTGAGACGCCAAAGAAGAGGCAGCTGCTTTGGGTAAAAGTAAACAAGTTAATGGTTTTGGTTCTTTAGTTTGGAGTTTGGTTTCCAGGCCTGAGAGTTTCGCCCTTAGAAAAACAGCGTGAGGGGAGTGGATTGGGGTAGGATGAGTCTGACTTCGGAGTGGCGGTGTTTGAAAATGCCTGTCGATTCAGTAGTTGTGGGTGGAGGGGCCTGGAGCTGAAGACTCACTGCAGGCAGGAACGCCGCCTTTCCCTTCCGACTCCAGGCGGGCGGGAACACGTCTTGTTGGAAACTGGGGCCTCAGTCATCCGCTCAGTTGTCAGCACGAGCCAGGCACTTAGTAAATAACTGTTGAGTGCATTGACTGCTGCACTGTAAGTTGACTTAAATGCATCTTATGTTGTCTTTAATGTATATTGCTAATTAGAATCGCAGGTTCTAAAATTATCAGTGATAATCGGTTTTCATAGAATCATTGGAATTTTAAACTTTTAGAGATCTTAGACGTCTTTGGCAGACCCCTTCCTATGGAGTCAGCGACCCAAAGTCATTGGCCACACTCCAGATTCAGCTATGTATAGTATTCCCTGATGTGTAGAGCCTTAATTATTTATTCAAAGAAATATGTGCACCGTGCATATCTCCAGGCTGGTAACAGAATGTTGGCTGGAATGGAGCACGGAGCATTCATGGTGTAGCTTTTCCTCCTCTTATTTGGTCATTTCTGTCCTCTCTAGTGCCTTGACCAATGGCTGTGTGAGGAACTGGGAGGGAGATGGGAGCGTATTTGTGCTTGCTGGCAGCATTAGCCTTTTTTGAGTGTCTAATGATTAACACGAGGTTCTGGACAAGCTGCTGATTTTGTTTCCTCCTTCCGTGTCCATGTTAGCATGGTGAATCATGTCAGCTTTAGCTTTACCATTATTGGATAGTATAAATATTAACTATAGACATACTTGTAAACACTGTCTTCTGTTAAACAAAGTTTGGAAAAGGTAGATCTGCCTGAGACCACAATCAGAGGATATAATTTTAAAATACACCAAGTTTCATTTTTAAGGTGTGGATAATTGGTCATCAGATTAAAATAAGCTGATTTGATTTTATAGCTTCCCTAATAGAGCTAGTACACTTTTGTTTAGAACACAGGACAAATATTTCCTTAATTTGAATTAGATTTTTTTTAAAAACATTCTTATTTGCTTTTCTTGTTTCAGTATCAAGATAAAGAGGAAGTTGTCTTATGGATGAATACTGTTGGACCCTACCATAATCGCCAAGAAACGTATAAGTACTTTTCACTTCCATTCTGTGTGGGGTCAAAAAAAAGTATCAGTCATTACCATGAAACTCTGGGAGAAGCACTTCAAGGAGTTGAATTGGAATTTAGTGGTCTGGATATTAAATTTAAAGGTAAGTAAGCCTTAACAGTCCCTGTAACACTAATTAGACTATGGACCAGGGTTTCTTAACTTTGGCACTGTTGACAGTGGGGCTGGCTAATTCTTTGTTGGTGGGGCTGTCATGTACATTGTGGGATGTTCAGTAGAGTCCCTGGCCTGTACCCACAAGATGCCAGTAGTGCCTTTTGGTTGTGAAAACCAAAAAAAGTCCCCAGACATTGCTAAGTGCCCTCAGTTAAGAAAACCACACTGCCCTAGACTCTAAAAAGTGTTGTAATCTGTACATTAAATGTATAGCATTTAGGAAGGCACATTGGTAACTAAGACTTAATTTGAATATTTATAAAATAAGAAATAATCGTTAATACAATAATTGTTTCCCTAACGTGTCTAGTAAATCCTCTATTGATATAGACATATGTGGCCTGAGAAGACCTTCATAGATTCATAATGAAGTAATTTCTGGAGGTCTGAGGCTGTAATGGGATGTGTGGCTACTTAGAAAATTTGGAGTAAAGCTTCAAGTTCAAAATTGTACCATTGGCTCAGCATGTACCCTGTTGTACCCTGTTGATAACTGTAGAATATTTAAAGTTTAAGTCAGGGACTTACTAAACTTGGAGGAGAAAACTCTTCTTAGCTAGTTATTATGCAGGTGCCTATCGGGATCTTGAGTGTGTTTATATTTTTTGTTTTTCTCTGGGAAGTTTGTCAGAGTGCATTTCCTGCATAGGCATTTTTAGTATAATGAGCAGAAGCTTGAGTAATTGAATTTTTGCAGAATCTTTGATTCAGTGTCTTGGTTTTTGAATAGAGCACATGGATCTTGTGATCAGGAGCTTTGCATTTTAATCCCCCCCCCTTTTACTGTATTGATTTAGTGAAGTTATTTACTGAAGTTTTGACTTCATTGTCTCTATGTGTAAGATGAATAGTAACTGACTTGTGGTATTTTTAGTACTAGAAATTGTATTTTAGTACTGTGGTGAGAATGATGTTAACAAGCCACTTTAAAGATAATGTTACTTTGATTTTAATTTGTTAAATTTTATTATTGTTTTTAAATTGTTTTGCTTGTTGAAATTTGATGTGCTGTGTGTATTTATATTCTTTTTTCTCCCTTTATATCCCTTGGGGTTTAATTATAAAATTAAGTAATAAATTTAAACCACAGTGGTGTAATTTGATGAGTCATTGTAAACATGCCCTGAGGTTTGTGTTTTAATTTAATTAGGTAATTTAAGTATTTAATCACAAATAGGAGAAAACTTAGACTAAAATGGGTGGTCTTTGAGAACCTCAATAATGTGTGTAATTGTCTCTGTTTTCTGTTTTTCCATCTTCGGTGCACATTTCTAGTGTACTAAAGAGGAACCAGCAAGAGAATAGGTGAACTCTGGAGGCCTGCTTTGATGCTACATGTAGATTTCATCAGGGTTTGAAATCCCTCGCTTCAGCAAATGTGGATTGTCTAAAGGAGAGCACTCCTTCAGCAGTGCTCAGGCTCTTCTTTTATTAATTCCTACAGGCTGAGATGGAGAGATTATCTAAATAGAGGAAGATGGTTTCCGTGGGCTAGAAGAGGGATTTATTTTCTCTTCGGACTGAGCTAAGGACCTTGAGATTAGAAGAGAGCTAGCCAGGCATTCCCTGAGAGTCGGTGTCAGCGGTTCCCTGCTGCACAGATCTGCTGCTGGAGAAACTTTGAGGTTCAGTGGTCCAGGTGCAGTCGTAAATGCAGGCTGTGCTGATCCTCTGTGTAGCCCTTTGCTGACTGGGTTCAGAGATACAGTTGGTCATGCTTTGGGAAGTGTTCCTGGTTGCTACTTCCAGTAACCTAATGTTCATCAGGTGAGATCTGCCTTGGAGAGTGTGTCATCCAGTTCCCGCTCACGGAGGCATGGAGGGGAAGTGATGTGCCAGGGTGTGGCATGTCATACTAATAACGTAGTGGAAGCTAGAACATTCTGTCTCTGTGCAAACTATTAAAGTATTTACTGTATATTGCTACTCTTTCATCTCGTAAATATTTGACTTTTAGAGATTCCTCTGAAGGCATATTTAAATAAAATTTTGGATATGTTGTGAAATCAGAAAAAGCTACGTATACGTGTGCATACATATTTGCATATGCATGCACACACATCTTTTTGAAAAATAACCTAGTAAGTTCTGTCAGGCTAAGTGGATTGGTGTCGTTTTATAAAACGAAGATAACTGAAGAGACTTTTTTTTTTGAGTCGGAGTCTCACTCTGTCGCCCAGACTAGAGTGCAGTGGCCGCTCCTGGCCACCGCAGCCTCGCCTGCTGGGTTCCGGCGATCCTTCCGCCTCAGTCTTCCAAGTAGCTAGAACTACAGGCATGCGCTACCACGCCTGGCTGATTTTTTAATTTATTGTAGAGATGAGGTCTCACCAGGTTGCCCAGGTGGGTCTCGAACCCACGGGCTCAGGCAATCCACTCACCTCAGCCTCCCAAAGGTGCGGGATTATAGACTGAGCCACCGAGCCCGGCTGAAGAGACTATTTTAAGGAACTAATGGTAGTCTAAATCTAATGTTGGATGCTTCTCACTTGACTTTATGCACAGCTTTCTTTTTTTTCCTACCTCATAGTCTTATATACTAGCACTAGCAAACATGCTAAATGGAGACTACTTAAAGAAAATGCATTAAATGTAGAAGAGCAGACTTAGGTTAAGCATCCTTGAGCCAGGCCTGAATTCATTATCCTCTAATTTTGGAGGGTACCTCTTGGAACCTTGCCATGATAGCATGGAAAGAATATGTGCTTTAGAGTTGAAGAGACTCTGCATCCCATCTCCACCTCTGCTTACCTGTGTGGTTGTGGGCAAGTTATTCAACTTCTTGATTTCATATTTGTCATCTGTGAAGTGTAGGAAATAATATTTGATAGAGTTGTTTAAATGAGATAATGCATGTAAAGCATTTATCAAAGTTCCTGGTACATAGTTTACATTTAAAAAATGGTAATTGTTATGAATGTAATAGCATGCAATGTGGGCCTGTAGTTCCAGCTTGATTTTGTATTTGCAATGATGAAATGTTAAATTAGTGATTGATTATGGAATTTTATTTATCCTCAGACCTGCGGCGTCAGCCTGTTACAGTAACGTTCTTGGTCACCCTTGTATCCTTAGCTGTTAAGCCAGAGGAAGCCTTTAGTAAACTGTTGAGCGCCCAGGCGGCTTGTGCCTGCTTGCTCTTTGTGGTCATCAGGCGATCTGGAATGGCAACCCTGAAGTAGAGGCAGTCGCTGCCCACTGTTTCCCTTCATGGGAGAATTCCTGCGGTAGAATGAAGCACGTTAGTTGTTGAAATAGCAGTGACTTCTGTAAGATTCCTTCCTTCTGTTTATTTTAGTGATCGTCTCTTGAATTTTCTCTTTCTTGAGCGTCCCAACTTAACTTAAGGGGTGCAATTATTTTACAAGCATTTCTTCTTTAAAGTGAACTGGTGACGTGGAGAAATGCCAAGGGCTGCTGAGAGCCTTCTGTGTTTTTAGTTCAGTGATTCTCAGTTGTGGCTATTCTCATCCTCACTGCAATATTTCCCTTCAGATATCTGCCTGGGTGATATGGCCTGATGGGGAAGAGGGCTTGGTCTCTCACTCAGCCTGATTTGTGCTTAAGGTGATCCCCCCACCTCGTTTTCAGCCCCTGGCTTCTGCTGTTCCTGCTGTCCCTGATTCTGGAGCCTCTCTGGTATAAGTTCTCTAGAGGAAGGTGCCCCTACTCTTCTGCAGGGAAAGGGTTGAGTGTCCAGTATTTATCTAGGTGTGTGACGGGTGGAGAGGGGACGGAGGCACTCGCCCCTCGTAGACGTGTTTTATGCAGCCCCCCTGTGTGTTCAGCCCAGCTTTTGAGGTCTGTGGTGCCACTAGGTCCTGAGCATCTCTTGGGTTCTGTGACACCAGACCCCTCCTTTCTTATCCCTCTTCTTTGATGTTTCCCCCTTCTTTTTTTCGTCCTTTGTCTTCTTACATCTGGTTTTCCATTTTCTAAAAATTTGTTGAAACTTTTTCTCCATTGTCTTTTCCTCTTTTTTGTCTTTGAGGACTTAGACCCTTTCTATTTCTTTACTGATGGGTTTCAGGAGGGAAAAAAACATACTTGTGGTTAAGTTCTGCCTTATTTAATTGGAAGCCTGGGAACCTGAGCAATATTTTGTTCTGTTGGTTTCAACTAAAGTGTTTTAGTCAGACCAATAATTTGAAATTTGCCAAGTCGTTATTATTGATTTCTTACACTTTGTACTAACCGCAAATTTGGTAAGTATGGACTTTCTTAAAGTTCTTATTCAAACCATTGATAACATTATTCTCCAGATTGACATCTACACCTTTTTGTTTTCAGCGAAATGTATATGTTTTTGTTCTGATTTTAACAATGACAGAGGTTTAGTGTACACAATTTAGGAACTACAGAATAAAGAAAATAAAATCACATGGATATAATTATCATTAGCATTTGATTTTATTTTCTTCAGTCCTTCTGTCTTTCTTTCCATTCATCTGCTTGTTTTAAAATATGTAAAAATTGAGTTCATGTTACATATATGATTTTTAAGTTTATTCACTAAATCCTTACATCGTGCTTGTGTCAGACACTGTTCTAAGCCCTTTCTAACTCATTGAATGTTATCTATAATTAGTTTTTATTCTGCCTTTTTCTTAACATTTTATGAGTTTGTCCTTACATAGTTACTGTTTTTATTTTTATTTTTTTTTGAGTTGGAGTCTCACTCTGTTGCCCAGACTGGAGTGCAGTGGCCGCTCCCGGCCACTGCAGTCTCGACCTGCTGGGCTCCGGCGATCCTTCCGCCTCAGCCTTCCAAGTAGCCGGAATTACAGGCATGCGCTACCACACCCAGCTGATTTTTTGATTTATTGTAGAGATGAGGTCTTGAACCTGTGGGCTCAGGCAATCCACTCACCTCAGCCTCCCAAAGGCGCAGGATTATAGGCTGAGTCACCGAGCCGGCCAGTTACTGTTTTTAAAATGTGGCTACAGAGTATACTGTAACTTGGATACTGTACTCTTTCTCCATTTCCCAGTTTTTTATATATATATATAATTTTTATTTTTATTTATTTTTTGAGTCAGAGTCTCACTCTGTTGCCTATGCTGGAGTGCAGTGGCATGATCACAGCTTACCACAGCCTTGACTTTCTAGGCTCAGATGACCCTTTAGCCTCAGCCTTCCGAATAGCTGATAATGTTGCCCAGGCTGATGCGAACTTCTGGGCTCAAGTAATCCTCCCTCCCCTGCCTCCCACAGTGCTGGGATTACAGACGGTGAGCCACAGTGCTCGGCCCCAGTTATATTTTAATACTCTCATCCTTTCTTTTCTTTTTCTGCTATTAGAAACCACAGTGCATTTGGCTGTCCTTGCCCATAAGGTTTTGTTTTGTTTTTTTTGAGTTGGCGTCTCACTCCGTTGCCCAGGCTTCAGTGCAGTGGTACACTCATGGCCACCCCAGCGTCGAACTGCTGGGCTCTGGCTATCCTTCTGCCTCAGCCTTCCAAACAGCTGGAACTGTAGGCGCTTACTTACCACGCCTGGCTAATTTAAAAAAAAAATTATTTATTGTAGAGATGAGGTCTCACCAAGTTGCCCAGGCTGGTCTTGAACCCACAGGCTCAGGCATTCCACTCGCCTTGGCCTCCCAAAGTGCTGGGATTACAGGCTGAGCCACCAAGCCTGGCCTCCCATAAGTATTTTAATGCATCTTTTCATCTTTTTTTAGGATAAATTCTTATGAGTAGAATGACTGAATCAAAGGGTATGAAAACATGCAAGGCCGTTCTCAGTACATGCTGCCCAATAGCCACTTAGAAGAAATTGTGCAGTTTATACCGCTGGTCAGGTTGGTCAGCTAGTCAGCACTCTCTAGAATTGTTTCATGAACTTGAACACCCTAGCTTTTCCAGTCCTTTTTTCCCTCTCATTCAGCGGTTATTGAGTATCCTACTTCTCCAGCTGTGGTCAGCTCCGGGGATGCAGAGCCCAACTGGGAGCTCTAGCTTCAGGCATCCATGGACACCTGAGCTTACAAGTGTACTTGCTTAGTTCTGTGTAAATGTGCACGGCAGGGGACAAGGGAGATACCCCTTTCATGGGCTTCTCAAAGGGTCCGAGGCCGAGGGCGCCTAAGAACACTGTGAGTGTGTTGGCACTTTTGAGTCCTTACAGCTGCCCGGGAAGGAGATGACCCGGATGCGAACTGCTTCACAGGTGAGGAAACCGAGGTCCATGGAGATTAGTGACTCACTTTGATTGGCGTCGCTGGCAGGTGCAGGGTCTTCGACGAAGTAAGACTGACCTTTCTGCCCACTTTTCAATACATTTGTCCAAACTGATTTCAGGAGAGACTTTGCCGAGTGCTGCTGGCTTTGAGCTAGGATATTTCTCATTTTCCAATTTAGTAATGCTATCAAAAGTGAAAGTAAGTTACGTTTGGTATGGTATCATCTCAGAACTTATGACTACTTATTGCTTTGTTTTCTTGATGCTTTCACTGCTCATTCAATTATTAGTCCTTTTTGGGAATTGATTACAGATTATTGGTCAGTTTCCAGACTCTAACTAGCCTACTTTCTGTTTGAAAAATCAGTGTTGTTAGCCACTTTAAAAGTTTGATTTTACGTTATCCTCATAAAAAGTATTTAGTTGGTAAAATCTTAATTGTGTCTTCTTCAACATTCACGGATGTGTGTTTCATGACTTACAGTGGTGGGTTTTTCAGATTGTTTTCCAGTTTTATAGGGTACTGAATGCTGATGTGGCATATTCATGCATGTTGCCTTAGTGTCTTCAAAGCGACTTTTCTGAGAGGAGTGCATTTCAGTTGGGCAATCAGACTCTTCAGTTATTTGTGATGTTTTTGTTTGTCTACATAAATGGAAGAGGAGTTTCATTAAAACAGGCAACACACTTTGCACAGCCTGCCATAATGATAGGTTTTCCCCTTTACCACATTTCTTTTTAGACTTTACATCAGTTGAGGGATATCTTCAAGACTTTCTTAGTCCTTCTGAGAGGTTGCCCCAAAATGTCATCTGTTTATATTGGCATTTTCTCCTTCTGTGCACACACACACTGTTCCATACATAGATGCATGTGGAGGTACATGCTTGACTATTCCTGGTGATGTCTTTTGCCAAATCAGTGGAAACTCAGGCTCTTAAAATTTGTTGACATTTTGTGTTTGCTTGGTGCCTACTCTGTACTCTGTGTAGGGTACTGAGGCAGGTGTACTGGGATGTAATCAGTTATGGAAAAAGCTCTCAAGACCTAATGGTGCTTTTGAGGGGCTAACATGCTGGCAGGCGGAGAGTGGTCCAGGCCTTCGTGCTGTGAGGGAGGCATGGAGAGAACGCCGGGGGCTTCGGAGATGAGGCGGGCTGTGGGGCGAGGAATCACGTGCTACTTTGTGGAGGAAAGGGCTGGGGATGGGAAGGATTTTAGGCTGGACGTTTGAGGTGGAGTTAACAGCATGAACTAAAAAGCTTGGTGGCCAAGAGAGCACAAGCCATGGGAGCTGTAGGTAGGGAGTTTGGCTTGAAAGGAAAGAGCTGATAGATCCGTTGGGATGCAGTTGAACTCAGGTTTGGACTGTGAGGAATCTTTTAAAGCTTTATACTGGTAGATGTCATCCTGTGTAGATCTCAGAACTTCCTGACTAAAACTGCCACATGGTTAATGGCCATTACCAACGAATGTCTGTGTTTGACGGCAAACAGTTGGATGGCTTTGCAGAGGCAGCTGTGAGGTCCTGCCGCCACCATAGCCCTCCGTGGCCCCTCTGGCCTGGGCTGCCTTTGTCTGGTGTCGCCCCTGGAACTGCATTGCCTGCTGCCCTTTGCTCGTTTCCAAGCTCCGCGGGGAGCCCAGCGGGGGCCCTTGCTACCAACTTGCCTGCCGGCTCCGGCTACTGTAGGAACCCTTATAGCAATCTCATTTCCCAATACCCTCCTTGCTTCCCTGCTCAGCCTCAAGGGTCTTATTTATGTCTAATTTTTAGCTATTTTGAAAATTCTAAGTTCGTTGCTACCTAGAAAGGTGTGGGTAGAAAGAAAGTCTGTGTGGGAGTCATTGCTGTTGGAGACAAATTAGTGTTCTCCTCCTACCTTGAGGGTGAGGGTTAACATTTCCTTGTCCTCCTTCCATGGGACTTCGCTGTTGACTGCCATCTTTGGTGGCGTCATTTTGGGATTCTCACTCTGGGCTGAAATGTAATAAGAGGAAGCTTTTCTCTTTGTTGAGAGTTGGGGAGACATATTGCTGGGTGCTTTGAGTTAGACAGAGCTCAGCTGTTTTTTTATGGAAATAATATTATAGGTAGTCATTAAGTTCATGGTTCAGCTACAATTTATGTTTAAGTTTCTGTCAATATTTAAGAAGTTTGAAGCCAGACTCGGTGCCTCAGCCTGTAGTCCCACGCTTTGGGAGGCTGAGGTGAGTGGATTGCCTGAGCCCGCGGGTTCGAGACCCACCTGGGCAACTTGATGAGACCTCATCTCTACAATAAATCAAAAATTAGCCGGGTGTGGTAGTGCGCGCCTGTCGTTCCAGCTACTTGGAAAGCTGAGGCTGAGGCTGAGGCAGAAGGATCGCCGGAGCCCAGCAGGTTGAGGCTGCGGTGGCTGGGAGCGGCCACTACACTCCAGTCTGGGTGACAGAGTAAGACTCCAATTCAAAAATAAAAAAAAAAGAAGTTTGATAATGTTTATTTGGGAACTGTATTTCAGATTCTAAATAACCAATATTATAGTAGAAATATAGTATAGAACTTAAACTCAAACCTATGCTTTCTTTTTTGTTCTTAAGATTGATTTCTTATTTTTTTCAATTGTTTAAGTAATATGCCAAAGCAATTGAATCCTTTTGATTGATATCTAGAGTATTTGTAGGTTTTTTGGGTTTTTGTCTTATTTTTTTAGAAGCATAAGCACATTTAAAAAATACTAGGTTTATAAGTTAGAAACCATCTCGACAGAATTATGGTAGTAGTATTTTTGAAATCTGTCAGGAGTGGAAATGACTCATCTCTAGGGGACTTTCGGGCAATTTATAAACCGTGAGGTAGAGGTTTGCCTTTTAATCTTCTTAATTTTGAATAGTCACTGGGATTTTTTATAGGATCTGTGGCTTCTAGTGAATTGTATTTCCAAGAATGTTAAGATGAGTGTTTATTTAAGAGATTTTATGGCTAGGAATTGTTACCTCTGTTTAGGAATGTAACCATGAGCTTTTGCATGTATATGTTAAATGAAAACTTTCTCATGTGTTTTTTTATTTTTGTTTATAAAATCAGTTTATTTTAAAGCTACTTAATGTTCTTGTCTAATTTTCTTTGTATGTGGATGATGTCTTCACTTAGTAAGATAATCTTTGAAAATAAAGATGACTAAGATTCTTGTATTATAAAAACTCTTAAAGATACACGAAAAAGGAATGAAATGAGTAGTATATTGAACCTCCATATATCTATGACTCAGATTTAACTATTATGAATAGAAATTTTAACTTCAGGAAATGTTGGCATTTTTCTTGTGTTAACTTTCTCTGTAATTCTTTTTTGCAAACCAGTAGACTAATTTGCAATTTCTATTTTATGCAGATGATATGATGCCAGCCACTTACTGTGAAATTGACTTAGATAAAGAAAAGAGAGATGCATTTGTATATGCCATCAAAAATCACTACTGGTACCAAATGTACATAGATGACTTACCAATATGGGGTAAGTATTGAATGTTGTATTTAAAATTTGAGAAAATTTGTATAATAAGCACGATTTATGGAGTGATGTTAAGGTGATTGTATGCTGAATCATGATGTAACTGTGTTTTCACTATTGTCTACAGAATGACTTCAATACCAATTTTATGGTTCCCTGTTACTTGAAAGTTTTTTGACCAGACCTTACATGAAAGTCCCCCAAAATATAACTTTTGTGCAGTGTAACTTTTCAGTTTCAAGAATAAAAAGTGCTTGGAACAATCTCCTCTGTCCCCATTTTCTCATATTTTACTTTAACCTGTTCTTTGAAATACAGTCAGAGGACTCAGTAGGATTATGAAGTTTAATCCTGCCTTTTTCTCATGTAGCAACTGTGGCAATAATGGTTTTTAGGCATGGTAGTTTCTTGAAGAGTTTGTTTTGCTGGTTCCTGTGCTATTTTCCAAAACTCTTACATTTAAAAAATTTGTCTGCCTTTTCCTCTTGGTTATCCATATTGATGGAGAAGAGCTATGACATGGTTCATACACACTTATGTATGATCCAAAATCATTTGTGTTGGACTTGATTACATTATTTAAAATGCGAAAGCACAGCCAACTGTCTTAGCCAACATGTTTGAGCACATTCTTCTCTAATTGTTTTTTGTTTGGTTTTGTTTTTTCGTCTCTGGGCATCTGCTCTTGTATATAATTAATGTTTCTTCCCATTCTTAAATTTGTTAGCAGACTACTATGCTCATGAGCAGTAAACTATGAAAGTCTGGACATATAAGATCAGAGTTTCGTTGTACTAGGATGAAATTTATAAGGAAGTTAATCTCAAGAGATAATTGTATGCATCATCATTACTGTGTTCCATGTTAATTACGTATATGTAGTTAGCATTTCCTATAAAAGACTGTAATTACTTTTATGGTAACTAACACAGATACTTCTGTGATCAGCTCTGATGGTAATAGGAAAATGTGCCGAATATTCTCTGATGATTTCTGAGCCTATAGTTCAGGAAAGCCCATTGGTTTGGGCTTCTTTTGTTTTTGATGAGAGAACAGATTCTTTGCCTGTTTGTTGCTTACAGGCTTCTTGTTTGGATCTTTCATTTTTTTTCAGTCATTGCTGTGGGCCTCTTTAGCAGCAGTGGCAACTGTGCTTTCCCAGGGTTAAATCCTTGTTAGCCCCGAGACTTCAGTGTATGCCTTGCTTGGGGAGATAATTTGGGTGTTCCTGAATGTCTAAACCATAGGGAATCTTTGTCAGAAAAAAAAATTCTTATCTGACTTTTCTTGGGGTAAAGGTTTCAGAGTCTTTTGAAAGCCTCTTAAAGAGTAGCTTCTTATTTGGTATAACGCTTTCACTCCCAAAGTCTGTTTTTCAAAGTAGACAGGTAAATAAATAAACGTTAATGAAATTAATTCTGTAGAGGGATTTAATTATCCCTCTGCAACCCCAAATAAAACAAAAGTATATTTTTTGAACTTGTACCAGTTAGACAGAATCACTTGGTTAATAAGCTATAATCCTCTGTAAGAAGTGACCATATTGGTTTCCTAATACTGTAATAGGATGTCTTGACTGTAGGGGGAGGCCCTAAGACATAGCTGATAGAGCCAGAAGCTCTTGGGAAGTGTCTAGGCTTGTCTGGAGAGCCTTGGACAAACAGTTGACAGATTGAGGGCACGAGAGATGGATCCTCAGCTGTCACCTTGTTGCCATCACATTATGTGGATCTTCCTTCCCATAGTCCAGATCATGTTAAAAATGACCATTCTAAACTGCTACCTCTTTGCCATTTATCTTCAATACTCTTCATTTTGGTGATTTCCTAGGTACAGGTCCAGTACTTGGTGTATACAAAGGAGACATTTTAAGTTTTGGTACCCATGCATACATGTGTGCATCTTACTGGGAATGGTGGGTCTTAGGTTATTACAGAAAGTACAGAACTGGGTCTCTGGAGACCTTCATTTTAATTTTGGTTTGATCACTAATGGCTTGGTAACCTTAACAGATGGTGTGATATAGCACTTCCCTGAAATTTTGAGGTGTTAGGGAATGCACATGTGTAAGATGATATTGTTACAGTGATGATAATACCAGTGACAATGCGTGAGCATTGAAAATTAAATTAGGCCAGGTTCGGTGGCTCAGCCTGTAATCCCGCGCTTTGGGAGGCTGAGGTGAGTGGATTGCCTGAGCCCGTGGGTTCGAGACCCGCCTGGGCAGCGAGACCTCATCTCTACAATAAATCAAAACATCAGCTGGGCGTGGTAGCGCATGCCTGTAATTCCGGCTACTCGGAAGGCTGAGGCGGAAGGATCGCTGGAGACCAGCAGGTGAGGCTGCAGTGGCCAGTCTGGGCGACAGAGTGAGACTCCAACTCAAAAAAAAAAAAAAAAAAAAAAAAAAAGAAAAGAAAAGAAAATTAAATTAGTGATCAGTTATGCAGCTGTTCATAACCTTTCACTGTGGTATGACCTGGTGTGTATTTGCTAAGTAGTTAATGAGGAGAAGACTTCCAGTTTGCAACTTTGCTTTGTTCTAACAGTGAGGAGTCATGATAATACTGCGGTTTTATGCCAAATAAAAACACTGGCAGTGAGCTTTTTGCTTCTAGGGTATTTTAAATATTAAGTGATGTTACCTTGCATAAAATGTTTCTTCTTTTGTAGGCATTGTTGGTGAGGCTGATGAAAATGGAGAAGATTACTATCTTTGGACCTACAAAAAACTTGAAATAGGTTTTAATGGAAATAGAATTGTTGATGTTAACCTAACTAGTGAAGGAAAGGTGAAACTGGTTCCAAATACTAAAATCCAGATGTCCTATTCAGTAAGTAGCAAAATAATTTTATGCAGAAAGTAGTTTGTGATCTGATATCAACAATTTAAGTGTGTTTTTGAGCTTTAGTACATGAAAATGTTGCTTGAAACAGAATGCAACAGAATACTATGGGAACTATTTCCTCAGTATGCCTAAGTAAGTCTCCTAAACGTGAGGAGAGGTTTTGCTTCAGACCTGCGGTGTTAGACACCAGTCATGCATTTACAGGGCCTGCTGTGTGCTGCCACGAAGTTTACCATGTGCCTGGCAGGTCAGCTAACCCAGCGTGTATTCCATAGTTGTAGTTTTAGATTGCAGGACTTGATGCTTCTCTTTCTTTTTTGCTATTGCAGGTAGAGATGATGCCGTGGTGCAGGTTGCTGGATAGGTAGCGTTACCACGGCTTCTCTGTCAGCTGGAGTGCTAGCCTCCTACACACTGACAGCTTGGCAGCTCTTTAGAAACTGTCAAGCAAACTGTTCTCTTAGGCTTAGGTAGTGGAAAGGAGAGAAAAATCCAATGTAGGTAGGGTTTCTCTTGACCATTATTTTCCTTGTAACTGGAATGAGTCCATGCTGGTAGCCAGTTTTGCAAGTTTTTCAAACTTTGTACATGTGTAACTAGTGCAAATAATGTTTGTATAACTGAACTTACAAAGAAATTTGATAGTTGTAATAAAAGTAATGTAGTAAAAAACTAAAGATGTACGTCCCAGTGTATTTTAAAGCCTTTAAATACTTGTGACGTGGGCTTGTACTAATTCATTTCTTGCTACATTGTCAGGTTAGAATACGTAAGTCAGCAATAGTAATAGTCTTTGAAAACGGAAATAATTCCTCTAAGGAAAATTACATGTTTTGTTAATACACTGAGAGGAAGGTTGGTTAGTTTTACCTGTTTCAACTTCTCAAATTGTCAGTAACTTTCCACCATTTCTCTAGTTAATTTTCATTGTAAATGTGTAAATAGTTCTAAATTTCGCTTAGAGTTTTGTCATAAGATTATTACTGACCTTTGTTTTCAAGTGAAAGTTTTCTCTTTCAGGTAAAATGGAAAAAGTCAGATGTAAAATTTGAAGATCGATTTGACAAATATCTTGATCCGTCCTTTTTTCAACACCGGGTAGGTAAACAGTGTGTGTATTTTAAGACATTGGCTGCACCAGTCAGTTTAGCAGACGTTGAGCATCTGCCATTTGCAGGATACTGTGTTGAGGACTGTGATGGGAAGAGTTAGCTAATGATCTAAATCAGGTCACATCAGGTGTGAGCTTGAAGTCATACTGGTGATAGGGAGTTTTAGAGGAAGAGCCAGAATTCCCTTCTTCATGCCTGTGGTTTAAACTAATTAAGAGAGCTACAGGGAAGAATATAACATGTGGGAAGCCAAAATAGCACCAGGAAGACTGATACTGGAGACTGTGGCTTTTATCTGTGGTGGAGTGGGCTTCCTACTACTTAAATTCAAAATTAGACAACCCTATACACTCAGACAGTGCTAGATGATTTCAGGCTTCTCTGTGTGGGCATCGCCCTTGAGGAGGACGAGCAGAATGTCTGCATTCTCTAGGAAGGAAGGGATGGCTGAGAGAGTGGAATGAGGCCAGTTTTTGCTAGTGGGAATCCTTCCACCTAAAAAGAAACATCAAGCATGAGAAGAAATGTCTCCACCACTTCACCCCCCACCAACGATACAAGCTGGGTCAATTCATAAGACCAGTGGAATTGGTGCTGGTTTTGTACAGGTAGTTTGGTTCCTGTTTTTGTTGTTGTTTTGAGTCAGGGAGGGGCCCATGCTCGAGTGCAGTGACACGATCACGGCTCACTACAGCCTCAACCTCCTAAACTGGAATTACAAGTGTGCACCACTATGGCCAGCTAATTTTTTGATTTTTTTTTTTTATAGCGATGAGGTCTTGCTATGTTGCCCTGGTTGGTCTTGAACTCCTCGGCTCAAGCGAGCATCCACCTTGGCTTCCCAAAGTCCTGGAATGACAGATGTGAGCTATTGTGCCTGGCCTAGTTTGTTCTTTGTAGCAAAAAGCAAGCTTTATTTTGCTGGTTCCCTCCTCAAGGATGGAAATAAAAAGTGACGCATGAGGGGATATATTCGTTCTCCTCGTTACTTCCTGGATTGCCTCTTCTTTCTTTTGGTCTCATCTTTTGGACTGAAATTCTAAAGTTTATCAATCACCTACTTTTGAGCTGGCGCATCACTTTTGTGGTCTCAGCTTCATATATTGCTGCTAGGTTCTACCCTTAGGCTCTGCCAGAACCATCATCACTTCTTATCTTCCTCAGGGTCCTCGGATTAAGAAATTAATGTGGGCTCTAGTTTTTACAGGAGCTAAAATTTCCTCCTCCCCCTCTCCCACCTCCTTCCTCCCCCCCCCGCTCCCCCCCATCCCCTTGGCCCTAGGCCTGTGTTTTCAGGTATGTTCAGGCAGTCCTGAGGGTGTAGGCATTGCTTGCTTGTAATGTAGACAATATCTGAGAATATGGAGGCTCCCAGCTGACACTGCTGCTGGACACTAGGTCTGCCTTGCTTCTAATCCCGTCTGGTATTGACAACTGCGGGGAAAGACCACCTTGGTGTTTTCCCTGCAGAGCACTGTATTGTTCTTTGGGAACCTGCTGTGTGTGCCAAGCACTGTACTAGGTAAGCAGGATACACTAGAACGAAAAGGCAGTTTCCTGCCTGCTAGGAGCTTATGTTCTAGTGGGGGAGACATGCAGTTGACTGGTAAGTGAAATGTCCGTGTATTGTGCTCAAGAAAGAAAAAGCAGTGGGACAAGAGCAGGGGACAAGCTGCAGGCTGAGCCTCTGAGGTGCCCTTTGTGCTTGTTTGACTTGAGGAATAACAGGGTGATGAAGTCAGGTAGCAGGAGCCAGGCCATCCCGGTCACTGTGAGGGCTTGGGATTTCACTCTAAGGCAAAAGGGGCAGGGGAGCATTGCCGTGTTTGAGTGGGGGAGTGACACACCTGACTGTTCCAAAAGGATCGCTTAGGTTAGGTTGCTGAGAACAGGTTCTGGGAGATCAAGGGTGGAAGCAGGGAGAGCTGTGGAGAGGCTGGTGAGACAATCCAGATGGGAGGTCAGACCAGTGTGGGAACAGTGCAGGGGGTGAGAAGATGCTAGATTGTGGATGTATTGAGGCCAGAGCCAGCAGGATTGCCTGATTGACAGGAAGATGAAGAACGATGGAGGTGAACTCCAGGGTTTTCGGCCTGAGCAGCTGTTAAGAGTGGAGCTGCCATCACTGGGGCTGTGTTTGGAGGAGATCTGGAGGGATGCAGTTTGGGGCATGTTGGATTTGGTGTGTCTGGAAGTCATCCAAGTGGAGATGCTGACCAGCTTTCTGGAGTTCAGGAGAGGTCTGGGCTAGAGATGCACATTGTGTGGTAATTGGCATATAGACGATACTTAAGGTTATGAAACTGGTGTGATTACCAGGAAGGGAAATGTGGAAAGAGAATGGCCCGAGGACTGATCCTGGGGGCTGTAATAAGAGTTTAGGAAGAGTCAGAGAGTCCAGCTAAGGGCTTTGAGGAAAAAAGTAAGCAGTGTGGTATTCTGGAAGCCAAGAGAAGAAAGTGTGTCAGGGCAGGTAGACGGATTAACTCTGAGCTGTTGATGATGGGTCAAGTAAGGGGAGCAGTGCAGAGTGACAGTGGGAGTCATCCAGAGTCATTAGTGAACTTGACAGAGCTGTCTGGGGTGGTGAGGAGGCAAAATCTCAACGGGGGAAGGGGAGTCAGGGAGTGGAGCTGTGGCTATTTTTAAGATGTAAGAAAAACATTCTATTCATGGACTGATGGGTTCCGTGGAGAATCTGAACCTGGCTGTGCAGGAGAGCAAGGGCAGGTGTGGGTGGGGTCCCCTGTGTGTGTGCGGGGCTCGCTTCTCATACAGTGACTCACGGCACAGGCAGAGGGGCAGGAGCTGAGTTCAAGCTCTGGTTCTGCCACTTACCATGGCCATGGGTAAATGGCTCCGTTCTTCAGCGTGTGTTTCTTTAATGGTGAAGCCAGGCTGGCAACACTCTACAGAGCTGTGGGGCAGTTTCACCTTCATGCTGTGTATGAAGCATCTTGCTCTGTGTTCGGTACATGGCAGGCGCTCAGGCAGGGGCAGCCCTGTTACCCGTCTGCAGGTGTGTTCTGAAAGGTATGGCACACCGAGCCTGCAGCTTGCGGAATCGCAACACTAGGGGGTGCTGGAGTGCCGGAGTCCGTAGGGTTAGTCAACCTCTTTGTGAATGCAGGTTTCTTCATTCTTTTTAAGAATTATTTTCCCAGGCCTGGTGCAGTGGCTCACAGCTGTAATCCCAGCACTTATGGGAGGCTGAGCTGGGAATATTGCTTAAGCCCAGGAGTTTGACACCAGCCTGAGCAACATAGCAAGCTCCTGTCTCAAGAAATATTTTCCGTGGTGTAATAATTTCAAAATCTTGCATTTCATAATTTTTAGGATAAAGGAATCTTATAAGATGTCAAGTTTTTAGTAGTGTAATCTACTAGGTGTTGGTTTAATGTCTGTTTTAGGCTGCATATATCTTATGTTAGAAAATGGCAGACAACCTTGTTAGAAGATTTAGCATTTTGGGTGTCTCTTTCTTGTTACTAAACAGTGACTATATAAAACTGAAAAAAAAAAACTTGATAAGTTAACTAAGAGTGGATATATGTCATGTATTTTCTTTCCTTGAACTTTTGACTTATTAATTTCCCAGCATGAAAACAAAATAAAATCTTTGGAAAAGCCTATTATTATAGACTGCCCTTTTTTTTTTGAGCTAGAGTCTTACACCATTACCCAGACTAGAGTACGTAGCACACTCACAGCCACCCCAGCATCCACCTCGTGGGCTCTGGTGATCCTTCCTCCTCAACCTTCCAAGTGGCTGAAACTACAGGCACACGCTACCTTGCCCGGCTAATTTTTTGATTTACTGTAGAGACGAGGTCTCGCCAAGTTGCCTGGGCTGGTCTCGAATATGCAGGCTCAGGCAATCCACTTGCCTCAGACGCCCAAAGAGCTGGGATTACAGGCTGGGCCTCTGAACCCGGCCAGACTGCTTTTATAAACCTTAAACGATTCTTTTATGATAAACTTAGATTTGCATAGCCTTTTTTGGCAAGCATTTTAAAAAACAGTGTTTCTTGTTTCCTTGATAATTTCAGTAGGTGCTTAACAGCATAGTCATTTTGAAGAAGGAACGGGCTTACGAAGAGGCAGAGGCAGCCGACTGGCTGCTGTTTTTCAGGAAGGGCCATAGTTTGTCCCTTCCCTGGAGCTCTGGTAGGTGACAGGGCCAACCTGCGCTGCCCCAGGCGTACGTACTCAGCACATTATGTGGGTCTGCGCCTCGCGGCATCCAGGGCTGGAGGATGTCTGTGAGGGCCTGGGAGGTGTGGTGAGCGTTTCATGGTGGAGAGGGTGCCTGAGCTGGAGCCAAAAGACTGCGTAGAGTGTGCTAAGGTGGGTCGAAGGAGATCTCATGTGAGAAGAAATCATGAGCAAAATACAGGGAAGGATGTAAGTGTGCTGCGCCTGTGGGGCCTTATGGGGACAGGCCTGATGGATTTGGGACATAGCGGAAGGAAAGTGACTCGAGCAGGTGAGGTGCCATGTCCCAGCATAGAATACTGGGGGTAGTTGAGATTTGATAAGAGGGGTGATCTGTGGGCGTGATGCCTCAAAGACTTGCTTGATAGCTTTTTACAGGAGAAGCGAAAGGAAGGATAGAGACCAAAAAGAATAAAAAGGGCAACTAGGAGGCCATTCGAGCTACCAGGGTGTGAAGTGAGGACATGGGGAAGAAGGATGGATACCAGAGACACTTTGAAGAAAAATAAACGCTTTGTAATTATTACCCATGGAGGATTAAGGAGAAGGAAGAACCAGAGACGAGTCTAAATTTTCAAAGCCAATTTTAGTACCACTAGCAGAAGTTAGGGAATCAGAAGCAAGTGTTCCATGTGAGGCGAAAGAGGATGCGTTTACTTAAGGGCAGTCTGAGTCGGAAATTCCAGAAAAACATCCAAGTGGGAATTACTGTAGTTAGCGAAAGTCTGAAACATGAGTGAGAGAGAGGACTGGAGACCCACGGTGGCATGGGGCGTGGGATGGAGGGTGTTGTCATTGTCGTTGGAATGCTAGTTCAAGGTTCTGAGAGCCCCAGGAAGTCACCGTCCAGTGCCGGAAGAGTTCACAGAAGGTGGGAGGATCCCCCCTGAAGATGAAAGAGGAGAAGCAGCAGTTGGCGAAGTAGTGTGGCACGGTGTCAGGAGAGGTCAGACGGGCCGAGAGATCAAGGACAGTGAGGCCCATAATGGGCCGCTGACCGTGGAGAAATTCATTGCAGGCCTTTAAGAGAAATGTCGTGGGGCAAAAGTGTGATTGTACGTGTTTTAGGGGAAGTGAGGGGAGAAAAGCATTGGTGCTGGAAGAAGGAGGGAGACCAGACAATGAGGGGCAAAAGGTGAAGTGGACACTTTAAAATAATCACAGTGGAACAGTCACTTCCACCAGTATCTCCTACCCGTGATGTGCCAGCGCCCTACCGCTTGCTTTCCCTGAATTACCTTGTTTAAGCCTGTGGCCAGCGCCAGGGTGTGGATGCTGTTCTAGAGGAGGACCTTCGGAGATGCTGATGCTGGTGAGGGATGGGGGGTAGAAGGAGGGGGAAGCATCCCGCAGGGCACGTGAGATGGAAGGCGTGCGGAACGTGATGTCAGGGGGGTCAGCTTCAGGGAGACCGAGGGCAGGACGAGAGGCTGTGGGGTGCACGCATGAAAGCCACGTCATGCCGCAAGTGAAGGCAGGAGAAGGTGGCACTGGGGCCTGGGAGAGGGGGGAGACATGGTGGGACTATCCTTGGGGACCTTCTGGGAATCAAAACATAAACAAAGGAACACCGAAGCAGCACCATAGTCCGAGTTCAAGTCAGATGCACCTTGTGGCCCTGAGCCCGTACTGGACATACTGTTGTGGCTGGCATGTGGATGAAATCCAAGCCAGGTGCCTTGAGAACATGGAGGAACTGGGGGCTCCTGGGGGTTTGTGTGCCACGGGTGGCTCACTTGGAAAGGACTGAATGGTGGTGAGGATGAGCTCACCAGAAGCAAGTGAAGGAGGTCAGTCAGGAAGGTGGCCTGCGTTCATGGCAGCCAGCTGCGATGGTGTGGTCTTGGTGTTTTAAGAATTTTCAGGTTGTTGATGCTCAATAAGGAGGAAGAAAACTTAACATTTGTTGAGCATCTCAGGTGCCATACTACTTATGTGTTATTTTTTATTTTTATTTGTTTAATTTTTTTTTTTTTTTGAGTCGGAGTCTCACTCTGTCATCCAGGCTAGAGTGCAGTGGCACGCTCACGGCCACCGTAGGCTCAACCTGCTGGGCTCAGGCAAGTGATCCTTGCGCCTCAGCCTTCTAAGTAGCTGGAACCATAGGTGCGTGTCACCACACCTGGCTAATTTTTTTATTTATTGTAGAGGTGAGGTCTCACCAAGTTGCCCAGGCTGGTCTCAAACCCCTCAATCCTCTCACCTCGGTCTCCCAAAATGCTGGGATTGTAGGCTGAGCTACTTATGCGTTATTAAACCTTACAGGTCACTTACAAGGTTAGCTCCTCCTTTTTGGAGGTGAGAAAACTGAGGTAACAGCTAGAAATTGGCAGAGCCTATTTGATCCCAAAGCCCATGCTTTTTCTGTGTAATGCTGAATAACGTATGCCGTATGGCCAAAAATGCACTTCATTCATGCAGTCAGTTTTGAAACTCTATGTAAGTGATAGCTTGTTTTCGGTGTAGGGGAGCTTCCTGCAAGGGAAATGAAAACTCATCCCCAGAGTGTCTGAAGTCTGGATTGTTTTCTAAAAGATTTTAACAGACTGTTGTTGTTTTGCCTTAACATCCAACTGTCATCATGAGACCAGTGAGTTTTGTGACTGATATTTCATGTTGGTAACACTTTTTTTTTGGTTATTTTAGATTCATTGGTTTTCAATTTTCAACTCCTTCATGATGGTGATCTTCTTGGTGGGCTTAGTTTCAATGATTTTAATGAGAACCTTAAGGAAAGATTATGCCCGCTACAGTAAAGAAGAAGAAATGGATGACATGGTGAGCAAATGTGGCACGTTATATTTGTAAAAACTGTTGGGGGGCAACCTCTTCAGGTCCCCTCCCACTGTGGGAGCTTTTCTGTCCTCTCAATAAATCCTGCTTTCTAAAAAAACCCCCCAAAAAACAAAAACCGTTGAACTCAGCGTTATTTGGAATGTTGGTCACAGTTTCTAACGTGAAATCCTTAAGGCCAGCTGAATTTTCAGCATTGAGAATTTTTAGGTTTCATAAGGGTGTAAAGTGCCCAGTGTGGTCTAGGACCATG